TCAACTCTACAGCTTATTTATCTATCACAGTTTATCTAATATGGCATAATAAACAATATAAATAACATAGAAACCTGATATATACTCTAGAATGAATAAAATATGTCATTATATATGTGGCGGCGGCGGCAGCCGACGAGAGTTTGTCTGGAGACAGGACAAAATGCTCCTTGAATATTTCACTATCATCAGTTCTACAGCTTATCTATCACAATTCATCTAATGTGACATAATAAACAATATAAATAACATAGAAACCTGATATATACTCTAAAATGAATAAAACATGTCATTATGTGACAAGTGGAGGCGGCCATAACAGTTCCAGCATTGTTGTGGTAAACACTACCATCTAGTGACAGCCTTTTGAAGCTGTCTGTTATTATAATTATTATTATATAGTACATTATTATTTTATGTATTATATTATTATAATTATTATACTATTATTATTATTATTATTATTATTATTATTATTATTACAGTATAAATAATTTGGAACTTTTATTCAGACAAAAAATATTGCATACTACTGCATTATTGTAATAATTGTATAAATAATGTCAATCTATTCATAACTGCATATTGGAATGGAGATGACATCATTTGTTTACTCTAACATCTGCAAAAATAAAACATTTCTGTTACTTTGAGCTCATTTTCAAGGTACTTCTCGTCATGAAACTATTCAAAATCATATCTATTTCTGTAATATATCTTCCATTATATCAAATGAGACCAAAAACACGAGAATACAACCACAAAACGATAAGAAAATACACCACTAAGGGGCGGCTAATTGCTGAGAAGTGAACTCCATTATTTATGGTCCGATTTCTTTCATTTTAGGTGTACGTTAAGAAGCATCTTTCCCTCATACATTGCTCAAGTTTCAATAAGATAGCCCAACAAACAAATGAGATCCAATTCCCTAGATCAAGAGTAAGTGCCCCTCACCAGCATCAAGGAACCTCCTTTGAGGCAAACTCGCTTATGGAAATTTCGCTCACGTATGGAAGCAAAAAATCGACCAATCGACTGCTCGTATTTGGAAAAACTCAAACGTGGATGCGCTCGCAAGTGGAGGTTCCACTGTATATATATATATATATATATATATATATAAATGCACAACGCAGAATCAAGTGGTTATATACAGAGATATTCGCTAGTCATGGACTCAATATGCTATTGAAATGATAAAGATTCCCATTGTTGGTAAGAGTGGATAACAGCACTGCCTGGAATCTGTTCCATTCAGTAGCAGTGGATCGAATCCTGCTGATCTGTGATCTTATATATTGTATATTTATATATATATATATATATATATATATATATATATATTATATATATATATATATATATTATATATATTATACATATATATATATATATATACATATACATATATATATACATATATATATTATATTATATATAATATATATATATATATATACATTATATATATATATATACATATATATATATACATATATATATACATATATACATACATATATTACATATAATACACACACACACACACACACACACACACACACACACACACACACACACACACACACACACACCACACACACACACACACACACACACACACACACAGGCCATCTCCCACCAAGGTAGGGTGACCCAAACAAAGTACTTTCACCATCATTTATTTCATGACTGTGACTGTCTTGCCAGAGGTGCATAGGCACTACAGTTCAGATACTCCTCCAAACTGCGAACATCCTCACCCCTCCTAAAGAGTGCAGGCACCATACTTCCCACTTCCAGGACTAAAGTCTGGATAACCGGTCTCCCTGAATTCCTTTATACAATGTTACCTTACACTCCAAACACTATTTGCCTTCCCATCTGACACTCATACATGCCTCCTAGATGTCCAAGCCTCTTGCACACAAAACCTTCTATGTATATAAATATAAATAAAAATAAATAAATAAATATATATATATATATATATATATATATATATATATATATATATATATATATATATATATATTATGTATGTAATGTATGTATGTATGTATGTATGTATGAATCTATGTATGTTTGTTTTTAATGAACTAGTTGTATCCCACTGAGGCAGGGTGACCCAAAAAAGAAACATTTTCATCATCATTTACACATAATCACTGTCTTTGCAGAGGCATGCAGATGTGACAGTTCAGATGTCACTCCAAACAGCAAATATCCCAAACTCCTCCTTTAAAGTGCAGGCATTGTACTTCCCACCTCCAGGACTTAAGTCTGGCTAACCAGTTTCCCTGAGTCCCTCCACAAAATATTAACCTGCTCACACTCCAACAGCTCATCAAGTCTGAAAAACTATTTATCTCCATTCACTCCTATCTAACATGTTCACACATGCCTGCTGCATGTCCAGGCCCCTTGCACATAAAACCTCTTTTACCCCTTCCCTCTATCCTTTCCTAGGACAACCCCTATCCCTCCTCCCATCCACTACAGATTTATACACCCTTGAAGTTATTCTGTATATCATAATGTTTACTAGATTCCAAAGTATGTCAGATACAGTAAAAAAATACTACTTTTCTCCATTCACTTTGGCATTACAAACATGTGCCTATTGGATACTCAAACTCCACCTCTCAAAAACCTCACACCTTCCATCCAACCTTTTTCCAGATATCCACTATTCCTTCCATCCAACACAGATTTATTCACCCCTTTTCATCAGCCTATCTTGTTTCCTCTTTTGCATGATTTAACCATCTCAACAACCAGTATTTTGCTTCCTGAATTGCATCTTTCATACTACCTTCTCAGTTCTTATTTTCTGCATAACATTCACACTATGTTTTGATCTGTAACAAGACATTTACAATGTGTCCAATTTCATCTGTTATCGTACCATGTCGATGCTGTATGACCCTTGTAGGTTCAGTGCTTCTTGTTGATTATAATAATATTGCACCATGCATACCACAACTAAAAAAGGATTGGTACCACTATACTAAACTTTTTTATTTTTTGCATCCATTTATCTATTTTGTAATTCACCTTAGACAAACTATATCAAGTTTCTTTTTGTATAGTATAATATCCCTAGGTTATAATCTTTTTGAGCTCATTCCTTCAGTACAAGTACATATATAAAAATCTTCAAAAATGTATTATTCTCACTGTTTCCCTTTTTCTCATTGGTTTCAGCATGATTTTCTTCTGTCTTGTGGTCATTTCTTTGAAATATATATTCAGTGGGTTTGCACAGCCCTGTTACTCTATAAAAAAAAATTCTTTCATTTTCCTCACTTCTACACTCATTCAACCTCTTGGGTCTGTTTATAAAATCTTTGATTTTCCCTCTATCCTCCTCTGAAATATCTTGTCTAGTTTTTATATCCATATAACCCACCAATTATTTGATGTCCTTAACTTTTTAAAAAGTTCCTCCTTAAGCTCAATCTCTGCAAATGTTATTTTCAGAATATTTTTCAATATGCCTATCTTCCACGATATGTTCTTGAAATCTGAAGTGCACAGTGCATTTTGTTATCTCATTTGTATTGTTCTTTCTTTATTCTTTCTATATGTGAATTTGTTTCCTTTTCAAAACACCCAAAAACAAAACCCATTTTAGCTTAGTGATACGTAATCTCCTTTTTAATAGCTTGACTAATATTGTCTCAAGCAGTAAATTCTTTAGGTAATACCACTTGCTGTTCAGTTTCTGTCTTTTCTTTAGTGAGTTTTGCAAAGCTATCTTCAGTCTTAGATTTATATACTTCCAAACCTTTCCTTTCCTTCTTTAAGCTTTCGCTGGCACTTTCAGAAATGTCCTGTGCTAGCAGCACCTGCTGTTCTAATTCTGTCCGTTGCTTAGTTTTTCCTGCATAATTCTCTTTTAATTTAGTTTTGTAGTCTACTGAATCTTTAATTTCCTTTCTTAGTAATATTTTCATTTATAGAGAATTCCTGATCTGTCACCTCTCTCTTCTTCATAACCTCATCTTGATCACTTAATATCTTCTTTTAGTTGTTCTATACATATTCCACTGGCTTCCTTGTCTGCAGGTATACAAGTACAATCCTTACACTGCATTCCTTCAAGTGGATCACTGTATTGTTATACTACTCTGTTTCTCTTTAACATATTAAATGATCCATATTAATAATTTCTTTCAGTTGATGGGAACACCACTCACAAAGCCCTTAGCACCATGCACTACACTTTTTTTCCAAGGATGAGGTGGCTGACATTCGGTCTCCTCAGTGTGTGTGTTTGTGTGAACGAGAGAGGAAGATAGATAAACATATAAAAAAATATTTTGGCAGTGAGAGATTGGAGGAAAGGGGGTAAAGGAGATTTTGTGTGCAAGGGGCTTGGACATCCAGCAGGCATGTTTGAGCATGTTAGATAGAAGTGGAGGCAAATAGGTTTTGGAACTTGACAAGCAGTTGAAATGTGAGCAAGGCAACGTTTTGTGAGGGCATTCAGGAAAAACCTATTACCCAGACTTGAGTCCTGGAGATGAAAAGTACAGTGCCTATGCTTTAAAGGAGGGGTTTGGGATATTTGCTATTTGGAGTGACATCTGAACTATCATATCTGCATGCCTCTACAAAGACAGTGATTGTGTGTGAATGATGGTAAAAGTGTTTGTTTATTTTTTGGGTCACCCTGCCCTGGTGGGATACGGGTGGTTTGTTGAAAAAAAAAAAAAAAATATATATATATATATATATATATATATATATATATATATATATATATATATATATATATATATACATACATACATACACACACACATGCACATACATTCATTTTTAAGGTACCTTAGTTTGTTAATTTGATATTCTGTAAACAAAACACTAATAAGGATTAAATCAATGTCCAGACTTATTAATTTGGATTCTCTATTTCTTTCTTTGAAAAAGAAAATTGCACTTATGGCTAATGCAGGCATTGATTAGTTACTATAATTACTCTTCATCAGGGACCCATGAGGCAGGCCAGCTTGTTGACCGGCAGATACCCCCACACTCCCACGAACAAGGTAAATGATGTTGCTCTTTGTCATTTCAGTTTACCATATCTCTGCTTAAAGTATTTAAAATTATCTGTATCTTAAGGGATCCTTGTATTTTACTACTTTAATATTAAAAGCACCACTGCAACCATCTCCACTTTGTCATGGTGATCATTTGTGAGGCCAACTTTGGTCAGCAATAACAAAAAAAAACCATTCCACCATCACCACCTACACAAATTTAGCACTACGTGTATTACCACCTGTGCACAAGCACCAGGATCACCAACGATACCTCTGCTGCTAATATTATGGTAACAGTATAATAATTTCATCAGTAATGTTGCAGTATTACTGATAACTGTGCTACCACTTTCTTAGCCATTAACCCTAAGGCATTAGTGCTTCCCTTACCAATTTAAAGTTGAAATGCAGGAATAGAGAGTTCAAATCAGCTTTATTGTTGTTTCATAGGAATATAAATAAGTTCACCAAAAGCAGTGGGAAATAATAATAGCAATAAGTGACTATGCTACTGTCATCAACATTGCTGTAACAACAGAGATAAAAATTTAACACAGTAATTATCACAACACTGTCAATACCACCACTGTTATTATAACAGTAACATTACTCTTTGACACTGCCCCTACCAGTATCTTTATCACTACAGTAACTAGTACATCAACTACTACCACAACCATTATCATCTTTAACAGCTGCTATGTTCATAATCAGTTTTAAACATTGAAATAATGACAACAGTCAGCAGCAGCAGCAGTTTTACCACCAGCACTTTCATGCCAAATAAAACAAAAAACACACCATCTTTACTAACAGCAAAACAATGATCACATTGCCACTACCAGTAACAATACATACAATACCACTAATGTCATTATCACCTCCAATAATCATAATTTTTTTTTTTTAACAAACTGGCCATCTCCCACCAAGGTAGGGTGACCCAAAAAGAAGAAGAAACACTTTCACCATCATTCACTTCATCACTGTTTGGCCAAAGGGGCACTCATACTGTGTGTGAGGAGTAAAGTGGACAAACAATTTGAAATTGGACATAGTAGCCAAGGTAAAGACAAAAACCAATGCTTCTTCACAGCTATAAAAAAGAAAATCACAATAAAAGGTCAAGTGATAACATTGAGAAAAGAAGGAAAAATGCTGGCAAGAAATGACAGGGAGTTATGCTAAAAACAGTAGATTTCAGAGTGTGTTTGTAAATGAGCAAATGCTAATGCCAGATGCAGTATATAAGTGTAGATTAACCAAACAGAACTCTCAGACATGGAATTGACCAATGTGCAAGTGTGAAGACCCAGCTGGAATATCACCCAACATATTTAGAGGTGTTGAAATACTATGCAAGCCACTCACACAATTAATGATGGGTGAGGTGCCAGACAGCTAGAAAATAATACAAGTGATACCAGTATTTAAGAAAGGTGATAGGGGCGAAGCCCTGAACTACAGACCAGTGTTCATGAACATCTTAATCATTGTACTAGAGTCTTCACAAAACACCAGCATTGCTTCAGAAATGGAAGGTCATGCCTTACAAAACTTGTAGAGACACATGATAGATAAAGATGAGCGGACTTCATATTCTTAGACGAATACGGTGCCACACCCAATGCTATATGGTATAGCAAATTGAAGAAACAAGTTGGGATAAAAAGAAAAGATTTGACATAGATAAAGAAATACTGTACTTAAATAGTAAAAAAACAAAAGCCACTATAAGGGATGAAACATCAGGATGGGAGAGTTTAACTAGTGGAATGTTCCATGAATTGGTGTTAGTTCCCATAGTGTACTTGGTTTATATAATGTATATTTATGACCTAGTTACATGTCCTTGTGTATGGATGGTGCAAAATTATTGAGAAAAATACATACTAAAGAAGATGAAAGAAGGCTGCAGAGAGACTTGAAAGATTTCAGAAAAGTCACATAAATAGTTGCTAGAAATTACCCAAGCAAAATTAGTCATGAAGTTGAGAGACAGGGGAAGATGACTGAAGACAGAGTACCATGTGAAGGAAAAAAAACTCACAGAAAAAGTCAGAGAAGAAGAACTAGGAATAACCATTAGAGTACCCCATACCCCAAATCTAGCCCATGAAGTGCACATAAATGGAATAAAATCAGAAATACAGGCTAAGCTTGCAAACTTTAGAAATGACATTCATAAGCCTAAATGAAGATTTTTTCAAAACACACTTGATATTTTATATATGATTCATTCTTGAAGATGCAATGCTGGCTTGAAACCCTCACCTAGTAAAACAAGGTGAAACTCAAGAAAGTAGACAAGAGTGCATCAAGACTGGTGCATGAATTGAGGGGAAAATGAGATAAGAAAAAAGAATGTGAGAACTGGCACTTACGTATCTGGAGGAATGAAGAACAAGAGGAAATGTGATAACAGCATACAAAATACTTCAAAGTATAGACAAGGATAGGCTCTATCAGAGATGCAACAAGAACAGAGAAAATTATCAAAAATTTTATATGCAAATGAGCCACAAAAATACCTCACAGTTTGAGGAAACAATTTTTCACAGTGGAAGCAGACTCTTACAGAGGTTCAAAGATAGATAAGACAGGTGTTTTATAACAGTCAGTTAAAAGCTAAGTTGCAGGACCAGGAGTTATGGCTCACCTTTGCAAGCTCAGATAAATCCTGTAATTACAACCACTACCAGCATCACTTCTGCCATTATCACTTCATTTATTGCTCCCACCCTTGCCATTAGTATTACTGTCTTCACTCCTTCACCAGTCCTTTCATAACTAGTCTTGCTTATACTTACAGTGGTTAAGACATACCAGCAGTAACTAGAAGCTTTATTTAGATGATATTTTACCTACAGAGTAGATTTTTTCAAGTCTGATCAGACTTGAAAAAGCCCGATGTGTAGGGGAAACTTCGTCTAAATACAAATTTGCAGTTACTCCTTGAGTGTCTTTATCAGCTACCTCAACTTGTCAGTACTCCCAGACCAGCTGCTGTTGAAATAGCTGTTACTGATATTTTGCTGCTGTAAATATGGTACACTATATTACTTATTTTACACTTGGCATTTTACAAGCACCATGGTATGTAGTAGAGTGCTATTACTGGTAGATTTAGTAGACAGATGGTGGGCTTTGAAAACACACTAGCTATTACTGATGCTGTTAACATCCTAATTAACTTTAACCACCATCTAAATTCCATATTGGCAAAATAATTCCCAAAAATGTTTCATTACAGTTTCAGTTACAACTAAATAGTTGCCATTGTTATTGTTACTATATTGCTATGATTAAACTACTTTCCCAGGTTTACTCATTTAGTATGCTGTTATCTTTGACAGTATTTGACACATTGGTTTACTATTTAGTGACTTACTTTTTATAAGATACTTTGGTTTAAAATATAATATTCAAGCATTTTGAACTACTTTCTTCACTATTGTTTAAATAGCTTTATTTTTTGTATAGATTTATCAAGTGATTTTTGTATAGTAAAAAATACTGAACTATTTACATAAAAAGGGTACTGTATGTTAAACAAAAATTTTAACTTCGTTTTATGTACCTATTGCTATTTCCTTAAATTTGGTAAAAAATAATTGTTTTTAAATTATACATAATGTGTTCTTGGTCTTATTTTAATAAACCATTATCTGCTAGCCTTTTTTACCCTCAAGTAGCTAGAGAGTAGATTTAGCCTTCAGTTCATAGTTTTGAAGATCCACAAGGGAGTTCCTGAATGCCACTGATATCATCTGCATCCTTAATTGTTTTTTCTTCATATCAGTATGAAGCCCTTTGTGCTCTTCATGTCACAAGAAGAAATCAAGCTCTGTATCACCTCATTTACCTGACAAGAAGGGGCAGTAGGCTGGCTGTGTATGGTTGATTTTATACAGGACTCTAACATTGGTCCTATTTTCCTTCTAGCCTCCTCCGGCCCTCCTACTTCAGGCACCAAGGCAGGCCCAGGTATCTAGACTTCCTCCTCTCATGCATGGCCCTCATTCACCTTTTTCCTGTCTTAGCTCTCCACAACCTTAAGGTTTCTCCTCTCCATACATTCTTTTCATATTCAATATCCATTTGATGTCCTTTAGACCTTACCGAGGCTCCTTGTCACACCGGTTGTTTTCACCTTCCTCTTTCCCAACCCACTGCCCATGCCCATGGATGTCCTATCACAGTCACTCCAGCAGTGAGTAGCTGTTTTTTATTCTCACAACTGACTGCTTGTCATTTGTTTGGATTACTTTTGGTTGGATATGTTCCACTGCTGGAAACTTCAAAATGTTTTCTTATTTTTTGGTTACAATTATGACTCAGTTGCATTGGCATGATGCCGCGGCATGGTGTGCTGGAAGACACAAGAGCGCCAAGCCACACTTCTGCTTGCCTACTACTAACATGAAATCCTACTCACCATCAATCCATCCCAGTGTGCCCTAACTAATATGGCACTGCTAACATGCATAAATGCTGCTGTTGGATGCTCCAGCTGCTCACACACTTGGTTGTCTCTCCCTTAGCTCATGGCAAGAGTAATCTGTCTGAAGCAGATCTGGCTGTACTGGAAAGTATGATGGTTGCCCAGGAGGCTGAAGTTGAAGAGATGACATTCACCCACAAGCAAGCCGAAATAGAAGCTGATGCAAAATTAGTTAAACCAGATACTGATACTATGATTTCTGATAAATCATTGAAGATGCATAAATTAGCTAAACCTCCAATTACTATGGAAGATCACCTAGCAATTATTCAAACTCCAGCACTTTCTTCAAGTGATAATGTGAATGCAGCAGGTAGAGCAACAGACACAGGTCAACAATTAGGTGATCTAACAAAACGTGTTGCAGATGTTGCATCAACTATGGCATCTACTTTAGAGAGTATTACAGCCGTTGCTGAGGGTTTGGAAGGAAGCCATTTGTCTAGTGATGAAGGGGAAGAACAACTTATGCTGATGCGTGATTCTCCACGCTGGGAGGATGAGGAGATCCAGGCTGAAGACACAGATGAGCCAAGAGCAATTAAAGCTGAAATCAAACTCCTTGTCAAAACTACTGAATTAGGGAAAGAGTCAATTGAGATAAGAAGTATTCGAGAATTTGTGGAATGCGAAGATAAAGATCTGACTGGTTTTGGAGGAGTTGTACAGTCACCATCTCTTGAATGTGGCCAAATAACACCAATGGGTGACCGAGTATACACCCTTCAAAGAGCATCCCCAGATGTGAGTTCTCCCAGCCCCAGGTTTGTTCGGCCACAGCAGCCCTCCACAGATTCATCCTACACTGAGCCCACACAGGACGAATTTGATCTCATGGCTCAAGTGCGAGGTAAGGCAGGCTTTTAGCTTGCTGCTCTAGTACTTGTGCTGCTTCTTAGCAATCTTTTTATGTGTGACTTAACATACTTAATCCAACTAAACCTCTGAGGAATGTATTTGACAGACTAACCAAATAAATCATTTGGATGGCATTGCTACACACCATTAGCCTAGCTCTGATATAATGAAACGAAGGCTGTGGCAAAAGTGAAAGGCCTGTGCCTGTTGACGCTTCTAATCTTCAGGCATTACAGCCCTTCTTCCCTCATGTGTTTCAGACGGTGGCCTTCATGGTGGTTGTCCTGAAGCACAAGGCATGGACTGGGAGGGGAAAAGTGTAGACAGCATGTATACTGAAACTGTGGTGCAGGCTAAACTCTCCATGCTCCCTGAAGTGGACACCAGCGAGGGTGTTGCCCCTACCTCCCCTCCCTCCTCTACCCTTCTTCCTGCTGCTCCTCCACTATCAACTACCCCTCTCTGTTCAGATCTGCCCCAGCCAACCAGTATCCACTCCCAGGCTCACACTTACCAAGACCTTACTAAGCAATCTTCTCAAACCCTCTTGAACCTGGAACCCTCTCATCTGCATGATTTTCATTCTTTGGAACCTCAGGGCTTTGACACGTCACCATCTTCTGCAACTAAGCTATCAGATCCTCTTTTCTTAGAAAAGGGCTATGTTAGTGGTGCTGAAGCTACTGTTAGCCATCTTGTGACATCCCCTTCATTTGCTTCCCTGCTGTCCGAAAGTGCTGCCCAAGTGACTGGAACTGATGAAGTAGCAGCTGCTAGTGTAACCTTCAACACAAGCAGTGCTTTTGTTTCTTTAGGGCCAATTTCACCCACAGAGAACTCAAGTGAAGATCATGCTGAAATTGACCGAACTAGTACAGAATTATCTCCAGACAGTGTTCGCTTTGAACAAGATATACTTGACACCAGAACTGAAGATGAAGCTCCAGATCTAGATGATGACCTCTTCCCAGCTTCCCCAGTGCTGGGGCCAGAATTTAGTGATAGAATTTTTTCTGTAGAAGCCACAGAAGATACAGACATCACAACACCAATGGAGATGAGAGATTCACATACAGAAAGAGATGCTTCTGCCTCAAACTTGGAATTTGTTGATGACAGAGAGGGTACAGATCTTCTCAAAGAGACCCTTCTTGCTGAAGATAAAGATGAGAGCATTGCTTACTTATCTCAGGAAGTAAGAGAAGTTCAGAACAAGATAAGTAGGTTGCAGGAGCTAGTAGAAACTGAAGTTGACCCTGTTGTAGCTAGATCAGAGGTTAAGGTAATACTAAATACAATGGAAGACATTAGAGAAGCTGTGGGGAATGATAAAATTGAAAATAATCCTGAGTTTAATAGTATGGCCCAGGAAATTCTTTCAAATATTAATTCCTTATCTGAAACAGTAGCAGATATTATACAAAAATTACAACTCTCTGACCCAGAATACTCTGACTTTTGGAGTAAAGTTGAAATGAAAGCAGCCAGAAGAACAGAATCCACTGTTGTGGAAACTGGTTCAGCTGAAGAGGGTAGCCCATCTGATGCAAATAATCGTGATAAAAGCTTTTCAGATCTCCTTGATTCAGATGAATTAAATCGTGATAGCCTTGAAGATGAATTTGATCGCCTTGCTGCTGATCTAAGTTTATCATCCAAAGCTGATGCTGCTATAGAATTTTCACCAAAAGTCACCAGCACTGCTGCTCCTTCTGATGTTCTATCTTCTCCTATCTCTTCTAATGTTTATCCCTCCAAACCTCCTGATGCTTTACAGGCCACACAACGGGAACCAGGTATGGAACTCGCTTGTGGTTCTTCTTATGTAGGCCATCATCTATCATACTGACAGTATCATCCTTGCCCAACTTTGATTTTAGAAGTAGGTTTATTTGTGTATATAATTGCTTAAAAACTGTTACAGCCATACAAACATATGTGACTGATAGTGTGTAATTATTGAAGCTGAATGGGTTTGGGTATTGTATTTCACAGCTGAGGGTGGTACATCTAGCCAACAGGCTGTGCGGTCAGAAAAAGATGTAGTGATGTATAACGAACTGCAACAAACTGATGGGGACACAAAGGTTCACAATGAATTGTTGAAAACGGGTGGTCCTTTGTCTGAGGTGCAGGCAAATTATGGTCCCAAGTGTGGTGAGTCCTTACCAACCATGAGTAATAAAAGAGTTAACGAGCTTGATAAGTTTAATAAGTCCAACAAGACTAATAAAACTAAAAGCTCACAAGGCACTTCTACTACCCATGGAAACGAAGATAACAAGAAGGCAACTCGTGATGACATTGAAAGTGTTGTAATTCGCCGTGAGTCGAGCAGGAGTGGTCCCCGACCCACCACCTTTCCTCTGTGCTTGTTGCAGCCAGAGGTTGTGAGCTCTTCCCCTGAAGCACAGCAGTATTTTCGACAGCAGCAGGAAGTATTAGAGGAGCTGGGACGCCAGGGACACTTGCAGATGGATGTGACAGATTTGAGAGATTTAACGTCACCTGAGAGTCTAGCTGAACGAAATGAGTTTGAGGATAATGAGGCAGATGAGATGGATTCTAATTCAAGGCATAACCACCGCAAACTTGTCAAATCCTCTTCGAGTTATGAGAATTTGTATGATGGAGCCGATCTTAGTGCTGTAAAGAGTGAGAATGCTCCATCTACACTACAGCTGGCAAATTCTCTTGGAGATCCCTTTACTACAAAGACACAGCTACCTCCTGAAATGTGCTCCAGTTTTGAAAACCTGTACATGAAAGCCCAAGAGGCTGATGATAAAATTATTCATGAGGCTGGCCTCCTCTCAGTAGCAATCTTAGAAGAGGCAGTACAGGAAGCTGTACATGAGGGGCAAGTTCAATGCACTACTCTCAGTGTAAATGCTTCTCCTGCTCAATCACACACTGAGTTGTCTGTACATAGTTTGGCCTCTAATCATGAGGGCATTTTGCATTCCAGCTCAGAAGAGTCTGGCACAGCAGGTATTTTGGTGATGTAGCTGCAAACTTTGTATTGTGTTGAACAACTAACCAGCAGCTGCAACTAGATTGCTTGACTTATGACACTAATATTTTTCCAGTGTGTCATGATTTCTCATGGTATTTTAAAACTTCATGGCTTTGTCATGTTTTGCCTCCACAAGTTGTATGATATTAACATACATTGATTTCTTTCAGATAACAATGACGGCATGTATTTTGTTGTGTAGTAGCTTGTGTTGGGTCCAGGGACGCCATTTGCTCACGTCACCGTTTGTGTCAAAATATGTACTGAACGTCTTGATAGATGAGGGCATAAATAAGTCCTCCTGCTGTTTTTGTAAAAGCCTAATAAATCTCTTCTTATCCTTTGGATTAACATGGCATTTGTTAGTGACCTGGTAATGGTCAGATGGCCTGTTGCTCAGAGATGAAGTTTATCATCAAAATATGCCAGGCAGTATTTACTCGTAGTTTGGGGGTACAGTTAACACCATTTCCTCATCTAAGAACATTTTTCATGTTCAGTGTAGGTCACAGTAGCCAGGCACAAACAGATGTAGGACAGTTGGTAAGTAGTAGGTATTTTGATTGTGTAGCCATTATATAATATGCACGCAGGGTGTAAGACAGTGAATGAGGTGAAAATGGTGGGTTCCCTTGAAGATCATAAGTTCCCATCACACTTGAAATGTCTGTATTCAGGTTTGCCTGACAGCATGTGGCATGAGTGAGACCTGTGCCATAACAAGTGTGTGTGTGACGTTTACTAATAGTGTGCTACTAACTCTTGTTCTAGATGTGGGAGTGGTGTTTACAGAGCATAAAGAGTATGGGGGCAGGGTGAAGCCATCTGCAGAGACGACAGGCGGACATTCGCACATTTCACCCTCACCTAGTCCTCATCCTTCCCAGAGTATCCACTCCTCATCCTTCACTTCATTCCAGGAGAAACTTCCAGGCACAACACCTGTGACATTGGAAGACAGTCAGCAATTACAAGATGAATGTCCTGCTCCTAGCAGGCCAGTGAGAAGACATGAACGTACATTCTCCCAAGCTAGCAATATATTTACTGGGACTATTCCTTCAGAACATAAACATGATAAAAAAAAAGAGGATAAGCAACCAATAAGTGAAGAAAGCACTGGAATAACAGAAAATATCAAACCATATTCTGAGCGGAAACAATTTTGGGAAAGTGTTACGTCTCATTCATTTGAATCTAAAGGTAGCACTTTAATTAAGAGTGAAACTGAAAGTGACACAGACACAACAGGAACTGATGGTACTGTTGTGGAAAGAAAACTTGTACAGGAAAAAAAAGTGACTGCTATAGAGAGCTCAGACTCTGAGGCAGAATATATACGGCAAAGAGATGACCCGGCTTTTTATGAAAATGCAGGTTTTGCAGGAACAGAGAGAATTGATATTCCAAAAGAGATAGGTAGAGAGAGAGCTATCAGTCCATTTGAAGTTATTCGCACAAAGGAATCGGCAGAAGATCTGCCGTCTCCAGAAGATATAGCATATAAAGATGTCTCCTCCAAGCGTGCACTTTTTGAAAAAGAAATTAAAAGACAGTCAATGGAGATTGAGGAAAGTCAGTCATGGAAACGATCATCAAAAGAATATGATGAAACAGTAGTAATAACTGAAGAGTCAGCATCTAGTATACTGAAAAAGAGTGAAGAAAGTGAACACCAACTGAAAGAGACAATAGAAAAAGATAGAGAGACTGTAAAACAAAAATTGGAAACTAAAAAAGATGATAAAACTAAAACTGACATAAAAAGAACAGAAATTAAATCTAAAACTGATAAAACTAGTAGTAAGGAAGATCATTCTGAAACTGTAGAGTCGTCCAAACTACATCATGAGAAAACAGAAACTAAAGAGGAAAAGGTAGTATCGGAGGTCAGTACCTCTGGTAAAAAATCTGTTACTCAGACAGATGCTTCCATTGAAAAAAAAGAGAAGGAAAGTTCAGAAAAGGCAGAAAAAGTAATTCATGAAAAGAAAGATAGCCAAGGCAGTACTCTTTCTAAAATCATATCAGAATCTGAAGAAAAGGCAGAAAGTTCATCAGAGGCAAAAAAAACCATCCATACAATATCTACAGAGGACAAAGATGTTACTCATGATGAAGATGTGCCCAGAACTGAAGAAACTTTAGTTGAAGAGCCTGTTGATGCCTCTTTTGATAAAACAACTGTTAACATAACTGAAGAATCTCGGCAAGTGGGGGACACTCACGAGACAGTGATAAGGGAAACGACTACTACAAGAGATGGGGACCAAGAACAACGGGTCATCAAAGAAACAAAGACCCAAGAGACTGCAATGGCCGATGGCTCGACTATCAAAACTACGTCCATTACAACTTTCACAACACAGCTAGATACGAAAGAAACTATTAATTTAGATAAACAGTCTAAAGCTCGAACTGAGGTTTTCGCAAAGGAAATTGTTGAAGAGCCAGCAGAGACCTTGCCTGAAGAGGCACACATTTACAGTACCAAAACTGCAAAAGAAAAATCAGAGGCTTTTGTTGAGCAACGCATGAAGTCTGACATTTTTTCCCAGGAACTGTCTTCTTCTGCTGAAGACCAAAGTCCAGAGCACAAAGTTATTACTCCCAAGGATACTAAAGCTCCTGTTTCTTTAAAGGCACAGGTTATTACTCAGCCTTTAACAAGCCCTATTTTAGTACCAGAAGAAAATGTTCAAGAAATTGTTTGGGAAGCATTCCAGGAACAGTCAGAAACAGTAATGTCAGAAACAGTGCAAGATATTCCACATCAACAACCAATTAAATCTCATTATGTAAAAGATATAAGTGTTGATGATCATAAGAAAATGCAAAAGATTCGTAGAAAGTCATCTGGTGGATCAGCTAAAACAAAATTAAGTGAAGATGAAGCTAGGAAACTTGCGATCGAAATTGTAGAAGAAGTAAAGACAGAAGCTGTTAAACGATCACCTCTTGCAACTCCTTCCCTATCTATGAATGAATTTTCAGTTGAATTACAGGATGATGTTTGTGATGGTTCTGCACAACCATCATTACCAAGACCAATCCCTGAATCAGCATTTACAGAAGAAACTACCACAAAGATTGAAAAGTACATTCAGGAGCAGTTGCAAGATGATATAGATGAAAAGCAGCTCAAACTTATTGAATCTGTAACTGCTAGAAAAACTGAAATGTTGCATAAGAAATTAGTGGGGAGTGAATACCAGCAGAGCATGGAAATAACAGATGAAGATCTCCGTTCCAGTGGTGCAGAACTCTCACCAATTGAGCACCAGATGGAACGTTTGCGCCAGATGACTGAAGAAGATGACATTCAGCGGTTTCCACGGGAGCCTTCAGAAGCAGACGAGAGTGAGAGTTCTATGATAATTCATGAGACTGTTGATGATATTATATCCAGTGAGTATGATCAAGCAAATCAAATGATTTCAAAAACATTAGATGCTCTAAAAACTGCAGATATCAATAGAACTGAAAGAGCAATAGAAACTATCAAAGAAGTACCAGAGAAAATAATTGGAACTGCTGTTCTTGTAAAAGACACAGAATTTTCTGATACAAAAGGGCTGATAAAACTGAGTCAAAGTGAAGTTACAGAGACTGCACGGCAGCTAGTGAAAGAAGTAACTGAGAAAGCTAAGGAGTCAGAGGCAGTAAAACAGGCATCCTTAGCCACTGAGCTCAGAGAGGCATCAGGAAGCTGGGAGCAAAGTAAGACGCCCAGTCCAAAATCAGGATCTAAGCCAAGCTCTAGGAAGGGTTCTTGGATGGACGATGATGAACTGAGACGTGAGTTTCGGAGGGACTATGAAGATAAAAAAAAAATGTTTAAAGAAGAAATGACTTCTGACAAGCCAGAGGTTTCTGAGGTTGATGCCAAAGGTGATGAATCTGAATTTACCAAAATAATACACCAGAAGAGTTCTGAATCTCACAAAGAAGTTCACATGGAATCTAGTATGACAGAAAGCATGGAAGAATCTAGCACTGTTGAAAGCATCCGGTCATTTGAAGGTAAAGCAAGACCGGAAATTACCACCTCTGTTATAAAGGAACTGAGAGAAGTAGAAACAGAAAAAAAACAAGAGGAAAGGTCCTTCAGTAGCCATGAAGAAGTTGTAATGAGAAAGAAAACTCATGTAGATGAGTTTAATCGCCGATCTGGAACAGATTTTGACACTTACTCAAGTTCTGGGGAAAGTCACTACTTCACTGCGGCAGAAGGAACATCGGACAGTCGAACAGCAAGTCGGCCGTGTTCCTCAGATGTGGAAGCATTAATGTCTGAGCGCACTGGGACATCAGAGTATGATACTGCACTTACTTCCCAAGATACATCTCAGTATTCAAGCTATTCAACTTCTTCTCAAGATTACCGTACAGCAGGAAGCTCTTTGAGCTCCAGAGATTCCATGAAATCTATTGATTCAGAAAGCTCTGGAAACCTTGCAAGTGTTGAACTTAGTGAGGCTTCAGAGACTTTGGTACCCTCTGCAATGGAACTTGAAAAAGACATGGACCTTCTGGAACAGGAGTTATTTGAAGAAGAGCTGTCACATTCTGCTCATCAAACAATTATCCCTCAGTTAACTATTCAGTCTGATACACCAAAATCAGAAGACATGCCTTGTCCATTTGATTTGGAATCTGATGAGAGTGAGTTTGATCAAGAAACTAAAGATGAAGAAAGAGAAGCTCACATTACTTCCAGGATGAAGAGATCAATAGAAATGACATTTCACCCAGAACCTAAGCCCCTCACTGATGACAAAAGAACCAGTGTCATAGAAAGTATAGCTTCAAGTTTAGAGGAAAGCACATTATCAGAGATGTCAATGGCAACAATAATAGAACAAGATAAGAGTATGCAAGGCTCTACTACAACAGATTCAAATATGTCTATATCTAGTGTTTCTGAACGTGTAGTTTCATCAGTCGAAGGTCAAGAACTTGAACGTCATATTTCCCGCACTGATAGTGGAGTATTAACTACAGAAACAGGAGATGGTGACATGGCATTACATTCTGTCACAATTACAGCAACGGCTGTACCTTCTGCTACGCCAGACCAAAATACAGCTTCTATGTGTACACAAGTAACCTCAGAGACACGCTCTCATCCAGATTTAACTGAAAGTGAGCAGTTTTTTCACGCTAATGGACCCACTGAAGTAGATTATGTACCCGAGTACGACGATGAGGAAGTACAAGGTGCTCGGCCAGCTGTAGCCTCCATGGTGTCTCCTGTACAGGAGGTAGCAGGAGCTGTAGCTGGCCCTTCAGAGGGTCCACATAAAGTTATTGTGGAAGAATGCTATGAAACTGAAGCTGATCAGGAGTATGGTCACATGATTCGAGAAAGTGAATATTCAGAGTTGGCTGAAGCTGAACTTCAGTATTCTCTGGAGGAGCAGCCAGAAGCAGAAATGAGTAGTATGCTAATCATTGATGAGCCTATAGAAAGACCTAGGACACCAGAACCTGGGTATATTCCTTCATCCCGTCCCACACCACTGATTATCCAATCTCCAGATGAACCAGAAGAATTCACTGAAGTAGACAAGAGATTTAGTGCTGTATTTTCTACTACTTATGAAGAGAGAGAAGAAGTTTCTCGTTCTTTAGTCCCGGGTATGAGTATAGATGTTCCAGATATAACTATCACAGAGCATACATTACCTATGCCAAGTCAGTATTGCTACCCAGATCTCGAGCGAGAAGAAGATTTTCCCGAGTGCCGAGCATTAGCTGAGGCTGAATCTAGTGCCCAGGATGTTCCAGCAACTCCTGGGTCTCAGGAATCAGCATCCAGCTGTCCCTCACGTAAATCTTCCTCAACGGATTCTGAGCAGGGTCGAGAGTATTGTCTTGATGATGTTGCTAGAGGCCTACCATTTGAGTCCTTTGAGATGGTGCAAGCTGATGACATTGATGATTTCTCTGAATATGAAAGAACTCTTTGTATGCATGAAGAACGTATGTTAGAAATGTCACAAATTAGAGAAGAGGATGAGAAAGAAGTCGAGGAGCGTAGAACTGATTCATCCCCCGTTCTTATTCCTAGTCAGTTAAAGGCTGTTAAGGTAGAAACTAAGGTAGAGAGCAGTAGTGATTCTCAGACACATGATTTAGAACTTGGGGAAGTGGGACCCGATCCAACCATTGAGGAACAGAGGCGGTGGCTAG